CCTCACCCCCATGTCTCTCACCTCACCCTCGGCTGCTCACCCTCGGCCTTTGGAGGGATCTGGATCTTGTTGACACTCAGTGGGCTCAGTCTCCTGGGGTCCTCCGCCCACTCCCCATGTACAGCTCCCCCGTCCCTGGGTGACAGCCAGGCCTACGAGCCAAGTTAACCACTGCCCTCTGCTGGCTGGAAGTCAGCGCTGCATGTCCCTCTCCCTGCTGCATGGGACACCACGGCCACCCATCTGTGCCAAATTCTGCCACAGGCTCAGGGGACCTACTCTCCTCCCTCACTCTCTCCAGGCAGAGCGGAAAGGACCAGGTAGCTTTGCTGGAGCCATGGCCCCCCATGCTTTCAGCTGGGGTCTTGTCCTGGGAGCCGACTCTAATTCAAGGATGTGTCCAAGCAGTGTCCTGGGGAGGTGACCCAGAGAAAACCTTGGGAGGGGAGTCAGGAACCAACAGGGAAGGAAGGAGGAAATAGAAGTTTTGTTTTTGTCTCATACCCGTGGTGTTGAGCTCAACCCCACTGAGGGTCTGGGAGCAGAGGGGCCCTGTGGCAGGGAGCCTGGCATCTGTCCACTCACCCTGTCTGCCACCACTAACTAAGGCAGCTGCTGGACACTTACGCTCCAACTCACCTCTCCAGTGGGTTAGGCCAGAAGAGTGGTCACCAGCTGGCAGTAGGTGGCTCTGGTGTCCCTGTAAGTGGCATACAGAGGGCCTCGGGCTCTGGTGGACAGTCACAGTGAGCTGGCCAGACACCTGGGTCAGCAACCAGTCATCACCCAGCCAGCGTTGATGGAGCACCTGCCTCGGGCCTTTGGCATCGGAGAGTCCTCAGGGACTGGCACGGGCTAAAGGCCAGCCTGGCAGTGAGCTGGTGGCCCGTCCCTGGAGAAGGGGCTCCACCCCAGAGGAGCCTTGCTCATGGCCTCTTCCGAGCCCGGTCTTCATGGGGGGCTGGTGGGAGTGGGGTCCCTACTTAGCGGCAGCCCTGTTTCTTGAGACCCAAGATTTCTTTTGAGAGTGTTTGGGTTTAAAATGAGGACCAGCTATAAAGGACGGGACTTGGTCACCCTGTGTGTGGCCCCCAAAGTGCTGAGCAGCAGAGTGGGGCTAGAGTGAGAGGCAGCCCTGGGTGGCCGTGGGGTGAGGCAGCACTGCTATAGATGTGTGTGCCAGGTGGCGGGTTTGAAAAATGTCCACTTTGTCATCAGGCCTTGAAGGCCAGAATGGTCCCCCATCGGGGAAAGGGGGAAACTCGGGACCTCAAGAACCAGACAGTCCCTGGAGCTGGGGGACCGTGGTCAGACCTGGGCCAGGCAGCAGAGAGCAGGGACTCACGGGGCCTCGCGCTGGCGTCGGGCACGGCTGGGCAGAGGCCCAGAGGCGGCAGCGCTGGGGCTGAGGTGCTGCTGGGCCGTGCCCTGTGAGCATTCTCAGCCCAGACTCCCCGGCGGGTCCCAGCCCTGGGAGGGGAGTCCGAGAGGTGCGGAAACCTGGTCTTTAGACACCACCCCCATGGGATGGGAGCTGAGAGCAGCCCTCTCTCCACAGCAGACAGATGAAGCGGCACAGACGGACAGCCAGCCGCTCCACCCCTCCGACCCCACAGAGAAGCAGCAACCCAAGCGGCTCCACGTCTCCAACATCCCCTTCCGGTTCAGGGACCCCGACCTGCGGCAAATGTTCGGGGTGAGTCTTGGCCCCCGGCACGCGGCCCAGGTGCCACGGTGGCTCCCCTGGGTTTCCTGCCCCGGCCGCCTCGTGCCTGCTGGTCCAGCCAGCTCTCCCTTGAGCCTGTGGGGTGGAGGGAGGAATGGACGGGGCAGCCCGCCACCTCCACCGCCTGTCCTCAGGCTTCACAGGGTCCCCTGGAGGCCAAGGTCAGTGCCCGTTAGGTTATTAATCTGCTGCCGACCCTGGCAAGGGCTCCAGGACCCCTGTCTCCTCGGAGAGCTCCTGGGGAGGGGCAGCCGGCCTCCTGCCCCACCCAGCAGCCTCTCCAGCCCCTGCCCCTGCTGTGTAGGTTTTGTGCTGTAGGGTTCCGGCCAGTTGTGGGGTTGTCATGGGAGCTGCAGGGAGCCCTCTAGTCCTGTGGTTACTTCATTCTGTCACTTGACTGAGCACCCAGCAGGTGCTGACACCTATAGGGCGCTGGGCTGCCTGGTGGGTGAGTGGGCAGCAGCCAGGCATTCGGCCCAAAGCAGTGGAGCCCTTTGGCTCCCGGCTGCCCCAGCCACGGAGGACACCTGGGCCTGGCCCGTGTTCACGCCTCCCTGCCCTCCGTCACCCCAGACGCCCTCCTGCCTGCCCTGTGCCACCCAGTGATGAGAGCGTCCGAGGAGCAGGCTGCCAGGCCAACAGTCTTAACCCACCATCTATCTCCTGTCTCCCCCACCCCCTCTCTGTCTCTGCAGCAATTCGGAAAAATTTTAGACGTGGAGATCATTTTTAACGAGCGGGGCTCCAAGGTGGGTGCCGCCCAGAGGCCGCCACCATTACAGCGCCGGCTGTAGGTCCCGCCAGGCTAACCTGTGAAATGTGCGTTTCCTTCCTGGAGAGCTTCGCGCCCGAGGACCCCTGAGCTACACGGGTGCTTGTACTCCCCTCCTCCCCCCC